GCTCGACGTGCAGGAGAAGGAACGGGGTGGTTTTTAGTCAGTAAGAGTCTGACACTCCCTCCCGCCTCACCCAGGCGGGAGCAGTCATCCGATGATTTTCCCCCCTTAAAAAAAAAATAATAAAAATACATTGGACACAGTACCACACTACATACTTATTACTAAGAACTTAGAAAATGCAATGCCAAATAGTACTTTCTAGATCAGTAATAGATACTAAAATCTTTTGCTTTTGCGCATTATCAATCATTCGAACACAAATGCAGACAACAAGCAATAAATATGTCAACAGGTGCAATTCCTAAGAAAAAATAAGCTAGTCATTACAAAGTTTGATAGGTACGGTCGCGTACTCGTTCTATGCCGCTGTGCGTGACTACTTAGCACGATGCCGACGTTGATCGATTACCGCATTTCAAGTTGTTTATTATGTTTTCAATTACCTCATTTCCATAGTATAAATACTGGGATACGAAAAAAAATATTTTGATTCTTATTCGTGCATAATTGTAATGAATGTATCGGTGCATTTTGCACACGTCAGTCCCTCCACCTTGGAAAAAAACAATAGATAGTACAAAATTCTGAATAATCATACACTTACGTTTCTATGACGTATCTGAATATTATTGATTACGGCGTAGCAATTGAAAATTAGCCATATTTTCTTTGTGATAAGATCCATTTTTAAATAGATATGTTCATCCAATGAAACAACGTACTTATTAGAATAATTAGTCATAGAGAAAGTACACGACGAAAATAATATAATAAAATGAAACAATGGAGAAATAATTATTCTTGAATGTTTATTTATTCGACTATACGACGACAACACACAATTTGGATTACTGTATTTGTACGAACAATCAATAGTAATTATTCAATTTTTACTGAGGTAAGCATCTGAATATAAGTATACCTAATTAACTGGGAGAACTACTTAAAAGTATTTTAGGGCGAAATGTTTCGTGATTAGGTATAACAATATAAAAAGTATTACCTAGCGACACCCGCACTGTTATCAAAAATGAAAACCTATCAAGTCGTGGATAATCAGGCGTCGATCAAAGTTTCAAACTAAAAATGGGGTCATAAATTTATGCATCTAAGCGTTATTGTTATTTATTGTCAACAAGAGATAAAGATCATCGAGAGCAAGACGAGATTGCTTCCATTGCCTACTTTGATATCTCTAAAGCTTGCATGTCAATCGCTAACAATGTTGATAAATGACATTAACACCGATTTAACCTCTTGGCGAAAATAGACAATAAGTAAGTAAATATATTGTTCCTTTCATTAAATGCATCAGTGCTTAGTCTTTGTACTTTTTTATGACAGTAATTGGCCTTACCTAATTATATTTGAACTTACGTTCGATGTTTGTTGTTGTAGGTAGGTAGTAGACAATAATAGACAGTAGGCCTGTCTCGATTCTATATATAGAGGTAAATATCAAGATGAAAATAAGTATCTAAGAGATTTTATTCATCTTTGATAACGACTACTTTATTTCAAATTAATTTGGTAATGGAATAAGTTCCATTCCTATAAATTCATTCAGGCTGGCTAATACATGCAATAAAATTACCTCTTATTCTCACTATTTTATCCTTGTATGATATTAAAGATACCTTCTCCGTAGTATAATAGATACTTTCTTCGTCGAAATATAACTTTAAGTAAAATAAGAAAGAAAATAATAATAATAAGCCCGCAGGGCACCTTGAGGCGAGGTGACGGGCATTAGCGATCCCGCGGGCTACCATCATCCCGAGTGCTCCAGGGAGAAGTTACCGTTCCTTCTTCTCCGGCTTGCCTTAATAGGCTGGCTGGAGTGAACGATGACAAGAAACAGGCCTCCCACCTCTGGCGTGCCTTCATTGGCCGTCCAGAGTGGAGTCGCAACAGCAGTGATCCTGCTCGGAGGGTAAGAAACTATTCGTAAGGCGCGAGTGGGCTAGGGATGCAGGAGGCTTCGGCTGGAGCAGATGATCTGAGTAGAATGCGGTGGTAGTTTCTTAACCCTTCAGCCACTCACATTCTCGTTGCCCCTCTGTTGCTATATCTAGCAACCATTCCCGAGGCCCGGTCGGTAAGTTGGCAAGTCTCCGCCTGCCATTTTTACGTGTAATAATTACATTGTTTCGGCAAGTGCCATAGTCATCCATAGTTCCAAATTTACCAGTCCAGAGCAACCCATCCATAGCCCTACCTTTTTTCCATTATCCACAATAGTTCTACACTAACCGGGGACTGTCCTTGGGTGCATTTCCATAGTGCATACAGGGATAGTCGCCGGTTTGTGTGTCCATTACATTTAGATTAAAGTTGTCTAAAGGGCCTCTGCGCAGTTGGCTTCGGCCCCTCGTACGCCTCCCAAATGACCGGGACCCTGTGGTCCCGTGAATGGTAAAGACATACATAATAATAATAGAAATAAATAATTAAAGAAAAGTTTAAACTGTCAAATACCAAGCGGTCACGGTTCTATAATTGTGTCTACAAAACCGGTACTCGACGAGTTAATGAACAATTTTCTTGCCAATAAAATATTTGCGATTTTCAAAAATATTTTACTGCTCTTCTTTCCCGATTATCATCGTGCATTCAGACCACATTCCAAAATTTTCAGATTATTATCACAACAGATTTTCGAATTTCCCGAATGTTGAAATGCCTTGCCATTTTGCATTTTCAGATTTGGAATATGATTTTATTATTGTATAATTGTTTGGAATTTGTTTCTCAAATTACCTTTTTATTTAATTTTCTCAGCTAATGACTAATGAAAAATCAATCCATTTTTCTTGCTTTTTACCTCAGAAAGGTATCCACCTATAGCGTACTATCAGATAAAGGTTGCTGATTGATCTTCATTTAAAATATCCATTAATTAGACGCCGATAAATTGAGTATAGATTTTCAACTTAATTATTTTGCAGTAGAGTTGAAAATGTATTAAAGGTTTGTGACATTTTGAGGTAATCTGATGCGCTAGTATCCGTACATTAAAATTTTGTTGTGATACGACTTGGTGATGTCAGTCCTCCATTAATAACAAAGTTTAAACTGATTACGTTTTATTTAGCGCCTAGGTGGAAAGACCCAATGTTTTACTTGGGGAAACGTGACTCACTATTTGATGCAAAGCTTGTTATTATATAAATATCTTAGTTAAATGAACTCTTATCTATTTTAATGTCTTTTAGTGTCAGCTTTATTAGTTTCATTGAAATGAAAAATAATACTTGACTACTTTGATCCAAGTATGAACAAACAAATAAACAAAAGGATAAAGGGAAATCCTACTAATCAAGTATTTAATTTACAAAATAGTAAACATTTCTTTGAATTCATGTCACGTAGTAGTAACCGTTTAGTTTCTATTTTCATTGTTGTCTGAAACCATTAGCATGACACGTTCAAAAGATTTGTAGATAGGTATAGCTGCCCAGAAATAATGTCGACGTGTACCTACCTACTAACTATATCACTATAGGGTGTCCAGTAAATAGTACACCATACTGTAAGGGGCGATAGCTGGGATCAATACCTACCTAAACAACCCTATGTATGTTTAGCGAAACTGTACGGTTTAAATATTATACCACAATTTTGAAAATAACCACAACAATACAATTTAAGGAGTATGCTTACGGGCAAAGAAAAATCGTCCTGATGCTTCTACCTTCAGCCTGACAACAAGCTTTTATATAGTTTTTTTGTTTGTATAAATTGATTCCATTTTATACAAAAAGCCTAGGACTGCCTCGTTGGCCGAGTGGTCGCAAGTGCGACAGCCGTGTAAGGGGTCTCGGGTTCGAT